ACCACTCTTTTACCGGCAGTGAGTAAATTTGTCTGTCAAATTTGACGTTGAAAATAGACACCACTTAATCAGAATTTGCTGCAAGTAACTGTCCCAATCGAGGCTGAAACCTCTCTTCTGCACTACCTCCCTGAAACAAACGATTGTGATGAATATTAGAGACACATAACATTGTAGAAAATGGATATGATAGAACGTACTTGTTTTGACTAACCTAAGATACACGAGTACAAGAGGATGGAGTAATGTTCCAATACCGAATTCAATTTTCAGTATCACAGAAGCAGAAAATGTTAGTCTTCTTGAGGTGGAAACCAAGGGACATAATAGTTGAACTATGCACACTATATGCTTGAACACAATAGGTTGGTTGTAATGAAAGAAAGATAAAAAAAAGAGTAAATTGTAGTTTGTATATATAATTGCAAAAGATTTTGCATGTTTTAAACATCGTACGCACAAGTTATAAATAACTTATTTTTTGGTGAATATGTTAATACCTTATATAGTAATAGGTAAATTGAGTGAAAGGTGTCTCATACCTCAGTAAGGGTGAAGAACGATTGAGACAAATATTTGGGGAGCAAGATATGTGTATCATGATTCAATTGAGTATCATAAACCTTGAATGTTTCACTGAGAAAGGAAATGACCAACACCATTGATTGATCCAGGCTGAGACATTAAGGAGAAAGATTCAAGTCAGTTCCATCATAGAGGAACCACTAAATATGGACATGTGTATGTGATAAATTTGTAATTGAATTAGATGTAATTAAGTTACCTCCTAATGAAATCGTGTATTTCCTTCAGCTCTTAATCAAGTATCAACTTGATTTTGCTCCATGCATTTGATATATTTAATTCATTTTATCCTTGAAGGAACAAATAAAATCTATAAATGAAGTTGTAATATCAAAGTGATGCATATAAAGGAAAGCTAATGTAAAGCTTACCTCAAGGTTCCTTAATTCTTGCGTATTTTAGAATTATAATAAGAGGTGTTGGAACATTTTGTTGTTGTAATGGTTCATAAAGTCAGTGCCAAAAATTTCCAGCAGAGTACATGTAGAGGTGTTCATCATGTAGTGGTTTGTATAAGAAGTAAGTTATAAAATCTCCTCACAAAATACCAAATGTCCACAAGAGAAACATAGTCATGTAGCTCATAGAAGATGTAAAAAGCATCTGCTGTAACCCGAGATTACATGAATGGATCATTGTTTGAGTTGGTTTTTTATGAAATACACCAAATCCGTTCCAATCAAACTCGGCCTGCATGCCTAAGTAACATGAAAATTATGCACCTTGATAAAACATAGTTTAGGACTTTATAAATCACAAATGAGAGTTTTTTTTTATATAACAAATAGGAGATTTAATAGTGTCTTATACCTATGCAAAGGGCTGGTGAATATATTTGGGATGCATAAAAGAAAATCCAGGATGCTGACAGAGACACTGAGGTGAATGCAAGTACATGGTTGATGAAGAGTGTGCACCAACTTGATTATGATTAAATGGATATATCATGGTCTTTGGATGTCCATATCCAATTCCAACAGGTGTTAATTGTGCAACCCAACCCAAGTTCCTGATATATATTGCCCAAATATATGTTACCAAAGAGATTGTGGTTGGTGTTCAGCGGATAGTTGAGGGCCACGAGGGGATCCAAGCTATGGAAACGCAGTGTTGTAATTCAATACCTGTACATACATTGGTTGCATTGAGTATGATCCTTCATTGATTCCAAACCCAGGATCAAATATTTGCATATACCTGCCAAACAAGTTAGAAGAATAATGAATCAGATTAATCAATACTCCAACCATATCTCATCCTTTATATTTTTTAGGTTTACAGACATAACAAACCAAATAGAAAAATACAACACATTTGGTTAATTATACAAGTTTGGAACAATAAAATATCTTATATTAAAATAATTAACAATAGCCTAACAAATGAATTAAAAATAGTCTCATCTCTCTTTTACGACGAGCTCGACACTTCCTAGTCACACGGACAATAGATAATAGATCACCAGGATAACCAAGGCATATTAAGTTCTTCGTACTAAAGGTTAGGTTTAGCAATGTCATGAGTTCCCACTGTCCAAAAAACATAAATTATATGTATTAAAAACAAATCAATAGTGATGTAAATTTAATGTTATATGCACTGAAAAGATACACAGACCAAACATAAAGTCATATATCATGTAAAATTGAGGAAACCTTGAATCTCAAAACACTATCCAAATTGAGTGATAAAACTGTCTGTAGAAACCCACCGGTCTCTACAAAATATTGTTTAACAAAATTTAAGAGGGAGTGGAGAGAAAGATAAAAAACTTATGCACCTCTGACAAAAATGCATCAAGTGATAGTCTTGGAAAAGCATCCCTTTCTAAAGCATCCTTGTATGGATTTCCGATCCAAGGAGTGCAATTAAAAATTATAAGCATAAAATAATTTTGTCAAGAGTCCTCATTTACATATAGACTTGAGAAAGGTATATATACATAAAAAATGTCATAGTTGAACTTGATAAAAACACTGAAAAAGCAAAGTTATATACCACATCCTTAAAGCATGTGTCATGTGTACATTTGAAAAATTACACAACATAAAGAAAGATTCCACCACATCACACTGCTCCATTATCAACTTCATATGAAAGCAGCGCAAATAAACCCACCTTTTCATGGTGGAAATTAAAGTACATCTATTTAGACACGTATTTGGAAGAAAGCGGTTTACCTTTCTAAGGCATTGGAAAACAATTCCTCAAGTTCGCGGGGTCGCAGCATCCTATCCTAGAGGAAGGAAAAGACATGGTTAATTTTCACATTGTATAACGATAAAGTCTATTAAGTAAATGTCCAAAAATGATTGGGAAACAACATGAAAAATAGAAAGTGTTCAAGGTCATATGTGGAAATGACATACAAAATCAACATCAAAGGCATCAAAAATTGTCTTTAAGAAAACATTGTAAGGTGCAATTTAAATACGTTGTAACTATAAAAATGGAATAGGATTAGGGGATTTCTATTTAGCCAAACAATTCAACAATGACATATACAAATACAAAATATATATAACAGTAATGACAACTAATCAATCTAATCCAAAACTATAACTCTTGAATGTTATAACCATTTGCAGTTAAAATAACTTAGCATACCTTGTTATTATTGCCGGAAGTTCAAGTAAGAGGGAAAACACATTATTGCTCGACCGACAACTCTCAAAGCTTGTATATAAAGTTTGAAGACTCGCATGAATAAGGAAACCCTGAAGATCCATACAGAAACTATAAATGGATTAAGACTAAAGTCATCAAATACAGAAATTCATGGCAAAAACATGAGTGATGCAATTAATCGAACAGGTGGCATGTGTGTTCATATTAGCTAGTGTCTAGAATTAACAGTAAAAATTTTAAACATAACAAAACATATAATTGATACAAATTGTAAAACTACAGTAGATATTCAAAAAGGTAGAACCTTTGAGGATGACCATGAGTGAAAGCTTCATCAATCATCATGCTCGATCTGTGGAAGAAATGGGTAAATAAAATGAGAAAACCAAATTTCTTGAACCAGAATAACATACATGTACTCCTCATGTCTCTCAAAGATCATTTTCGAAAGAAAAGAAAAGTTCTGAACATCAAAGGGGCAGCGGCGGATTTACGGTTTATGGACAAAAAAAGAGAAAACGGAGAAAGGGGCGGAATTAGGGTTTGTGGAGGAAAGAAGAGAAAATTGAGAGTGATAAAAAACGGGAGAGAGAGTGAATGAAATCTGAAGAGAGAGTGGTTTTGGTGGGAAGGGGGAAATTTGAGATAGCTAATGGTTAATTGACATTTGTCATGCAAATAGAGGTTTGTGTGAAATTTATTTGTTACATTTGTTAATTACTTATGTCACATTTGTTAATTACTTATTTGTCCAATTGATAGTGTAAATAAAATTTAGGAAAGAGGCAATTATGTAAGATCATGCAATAGTATTTTGAAGGGTTGATAATAGACGGCTTTCTTTTGTATTTTGAAAAAAAAAAATATTTTTTTTTATTTTTGAATAACATAATTTTTTGTATTTTCTAAAAAGAAAACCCTTCTAAATTTTCTAGAAAAATCAATTTTTTTATTTCCAGTGTTTTGTATTTTCAGAAAAAACATGATATTTTTTACAAAATAAACAGTTTTATGTTCTCTAAAAATAACAAATTTTTTATTTTCAAAAAAAATTGTTTTTCTTTAATGAAAATTACTTTTTATAAATTTTTTAAAAAAATCTTCTTTTAATTATAAAAATTATCTTTCTAATTTTTTAAAAATAAATTTAATAAAAGTAAAAATTCTCTAGTAGATCATAAAAATATTAAATATGTGCTTTAAAAATTAGACATAAAAAATGGATAGATTTAATTCAATCAATAAATCTATTGATGTGGTTGGTGAATGGTGGAAGGATCAATCCACCGAACAATCTGTTTATTGTAGGAAAAACCATAATAAAATATTTTTCACATATATAACACATTCATTTGTTGGTATATTCATCTTCTTAAATTCATAAATTCATTGCATAGAATTAAAAATATATGAATTCAATTTTTATACATTACAAACATTTAGGGTCCATTTGATTTGTTATGAATGATAATAGATAAAACTGGTTTTTCTAGGAACAATCATGATTTCACGTTTTGTTAAAAACTAGATATTAGGGGTACAACTAAATCCAAATAGTAATATGCATCAAAACTTATGAAAATGAAAAGAAATAAATAAAGAAAACTAAGTATTATGGGTATAGCTAAATCCAAATAGAAGCAAGAAACTAAAACTCAACAAAATCCCAATAATAGCAATAAAACTAAGTTTAATCAAAAAAAGTCTGATGGAAGATACTAGAGTTTAAAAGAGATGGCAACAAAACATTAAAAACAAGTTCCAAAAATTCAATACAACAAACAAAATTAAGCTTTGAGGCGTCCATAGAACTTTTGTTTCTCTTGTGTTGTCTGGAAACGACCATGGCCAAACTTGGAAGAGGTATCGATAAACTTGAGTTTGATATCCTCGAGGGCAAGACGAGAAGTCTGCTTTAGAAGGGATTGACGCAAAGTAATGACCCTCTTCTTGGGACCAACACAGCCTCCCTTGATCATCAGATAGTCCTCTTTCACAACACCATAGTGAGGGAAACCACCCATGGGGGTGATGTCTTTCTCAGTCCTGTAAACATGTTCACAGATTTGTTAGATTTCTCATCAATAATACTGATAGAATTGGCATCGTAAAACTAAAAACCAAATGAATTTACTGACCTATCAAACTCAGTCTGGGCATCATGGGTCTCTTCACCAGTTTTGCCGAGCTTGTAAATCTTCTTGTTCAGCTCAGTACGATGATGGTAACCGTTCTGACCAGCCCTTGCAACAGTGAAGGAAACTCTGGCAGGATGCCATGCACCAATACAGGCAACCTTCCTCAAACCCCTGTGAGTCTTACGGGGGAGACGGGTAACACCCCAACGGGTAACAACACCTTCATAACCCTTACCCTTTGTCACTCCAATGATGTCAATCATTTCATCCTTCTGGAACACAGCATCAATAGGAACCTGCTTCTCAAAGAAGTTGTAGGCAAAGTCAACCTTCTGAGCAATAGTGCCACCGTTAATCTGAATCTCCATGATATGGGCTTTCTTTTGCTTCAATCCCTTCATTTTCCTGATCTGTGATATATTGAAAAAAAAATATCAGAAAATAGAAATTCATATCAAAAATAATGAATTCATAGAATTTACAAAATTCAGATAACATGATACTATTGTGAAAAAATAAGAGAAAAAACACTAATGTGATAATCTTAAAAGTCAACACAAAAAACTGTGGTGAATAAGTATATGTATCCAGAACACCATGTAGCTAATGTATTTTAGCATAAAAAGTTGTTTTAATAAAAACAGTCAAGAGTCAGAAATCTCGTGTGGAAGTGCCGCTCATAGCATTCAAATAACACTGCGTTTGCACAGATATTTCATCATTCTCGTCTCACAGAAAAACATAAACCACGTAGAATTCACATTACAGCAAAAAACTGTGACATTAAGAAACAAAAAACAGACTAAATGAAGTTCTGAAGAAGGTGGCACAAGTAATGACAATTTCTTTTCATTTATCAAAAGATGTTAACGCATAACTAATAATAAAATAAAACATATGGGAGTCAGAAATCTCGTGTGGAAAGTGCCACTCATAGCACTCAACAAGTGCTGTGTTTGCAAAGATATTTCATCATTATCACCTCACAAAAGCAAACATAAGACATAATAAAAGAGAATATGTTGCAACAAGCGAAAAAAGGCAGGCAACAAGGCTAGTACCTGAGTGTGAGCCAACACACGGATAACAGTTGCATACTTCTTCAATTTCTCAAGCTGAGTGTGAATGTTCTTCTTGCCTTCATCACTTTCATACTGCTTTGAGTACTTGCTGAAAGCCTTCTTCTTGGACTTGCACCAGTTCTTGTAGAACCTACGCTTAATTTCCTCACTCAAATGCTGGGTCCACACAGTATTCAATGTGCGAAGACCACGTGGAGTTTTCACATAACCCACAACACCAACAACAACCATTGGAGGAGTTTCAATGATTGTGACAGGCTCACAAGTCTCCTTCTTGTGAAGCTCTGAAGTAAAGAGTACAATTTCATGTTAAATTAAGTTCAAACAATCAGAATAATGCATGATGAGAAGTACTTGATCAAAAGAACAAACTATGTCAAGTAATGCTAAGTGAATGATGCTAACAGTTAATTGATTAAAAACATAATAAATCATTCTTCACATTAAATTAGTAAAATAAATAAAGCTTGATAAGAATGATACTCACTAGATCCGGGCTTCTCGACCTCTCTCACGATGTGGGTCATTCCAGCCTTGTAACCCAAGAAGGCAGTAAACTTTGGTGGCTTGGTTGGGTCATCCTTGGGGAAGGCCTTCACTGCAAGAGGTAAAATTACACAATTGAGAGAACATCAATTTACACTTAAATTAAGCTGTTAAATTACAAAAGCATTAGGGTTTAAGGCTTATAATAACTTCAATAGGAATATATAGGGCATGTTTTATAATTAGATCGGAACTGCAAAACCATTTTTCATCAAAAAAATAATCTTATTGTTGTTTATGCTTTAAAATTACTCCATTAAGAAAACAGTGAACAAATATTTATGAAAAAACAAACCTTTTCCTCTGTGACGAGCAGCGCGCTTCCTTGGGAGAAATCCCAGAGAACCGTGTCTAGGGTGCTCGAACTTCCTGTGAGACATCCTTCTCCTACTTCAAATACAAAAGCAAAAACTATGAACAAACAAAATCGATGACGAATTTGATATAATTCTTGTAGAAAAAATCATTGTTGCGTCTGTAGTGAGAAATGGAAATACGAATGAGAGAATGAGAAAAATGGAGTACCTGAGGCTGCTGTGCCGCTGCAATGAGAGTGTGTTCAATGGGGGAAAGAACCCTAATTACATCACAGTTTTTTATAGTGATGCTATGAGGCCTTTTACTATTTCTTTCTATGGGCCTTTGAATTGGACGTAAAAGCCCATCTCACACAAACTGTTTGTTGTTGAAAAACACAAAAATTACAACTCAAGTATTTATTTTCACTTAATTTTTTTTTATGAAAATTTATTTTCACATAATTACCACTTTCATTTGGTGTCAAATTCATCTTTTTAATTTGATTATAAATTTATAGTTTTGAAATAATTAATATTTTATAATTTTATATTTTATACATAATTTTTACAAGTCATATGTAAAAATCAATATTCAATCATTTGAAAAAAAAATGCCAAGTTGGTGGAATTCACTCTTTAAAGGTGAAAAGTGGAATGCCACATGTTCAAACTCATGCGTCTTTATTTGATTTTCTTACATAGCTATCAACTGAGTTGCCTTAACAAAAAAAAATATATTTTTTTACTTTGCAACCAAAACAAGACAACCATTATGTAATAGGATTATCTTATAATTGGATTGGATTTGGATTACATTTGGAGTCTCTTTTAAATCAGACCATGTTATTTGTTTGATAAGCCTTCTTAGATAATAAATGGGTCAGTTTATTATACACTTTCTTAGTGAAACCAAACCTAATTTTATGAAAAACAAATTTTAAGTTGTTATTATCATTTGTTAGTGTGTTTTAGTATTTTTCTTCACCATAAAAGAAGCTTGTTAGGTTTTTGTTTCACTCTCAAATATAATTTTTTTAAAACAACAATCAATAATGAATTCAACTATTTTGATAATCACCATAGTTTTTGCAATCATTATATCCTTTTCTCCCTTCAATCTTGTTTCTAAAGATCACTATAACATCTCATTTTTCTTCCATTACTATACTATCATATGTGTTAAACTTTAACCAGATTTTTTTATAGGGGTTCATTTGATACTTAAAGTGTATCTTTTTCATGTTAAGGGTCATTGTTTTTAATAAGTATGTCATCAATATGAGATTTTTTTTCTCTTGTTTTTTCTACTTTCTCTATTACCATTGTCTCTAATATTGTCATCTTATTTCTTTTTACCAAGGTTATTTCTTATATGCATTTTGAGTGGGAATATTGTATTATTTGGATAACTTTACTTATAGTTTTTATTCTTTTATTTATATTTACTATTTATGACTTGGTTTTTGTTCCATTATGGAACCATAAATGGAGAACATTGTGCATGTTATGGTGGAACGAAGCTTCGTGAGTGATTTGGTAATGCGACATCTTGGACCGAAGGTTACAATTGTGATACATCCTGAATTGGAGACATGGGTCTTGAATTGATGTTGGTTATCTCTGATATGGTGGACCTTGGGGTGCTTGCATGGTTAACACTCAAACACCCAAGTCAGTTTAGGGTTCAAGATGATCGTAGTGAAAGTGAATATTAGATATTGTGTACCTGAAATCCTTTTAAAAATATATTTATACCTTGGGCTCAATGGAGCGAACGAGATTAGCGAACCTTATCTTATTGGGCCTTTAGCCGGCCTAGAATAATTGTCCATAAGTCTCGTCATGCACTTTAGGTATCAGGGGGGTATTTTAGCAGTCGTTACTAGCCTTCATGAATGGTTGTTCATGTGTTTACAGACATTGCTTTGGTTTGCCAAAGAGTGATAAGGAACATGAGCATTGAATGTGGTCTTATCATTTAAACGTTTCACTGTTTTTCCCTTGACATGTAACTTGAAAAGGTCGAAAGTGGTGTGACGGTACTTACTATACACTTGAATGCACTTGAGTTTGATTGTGTTTTTAAGGTGAAATTTGGTCGTTGGCTTGCATTTTCTTCTTACTTTCAATCTGATTCATCTGATTTCCTTCGCTTATATAAGGGTAGAGGAAATTTGGGGAATTTTCTGCAACATTTTAGATTGAATTTCCCTTATTTCATTTTAGTTTTTACCTTTTATTTGAGAGCATTTTTCTTGGAGTAATTGCTATCACGCATTCAAAGCTTTAAAGCTTAAACTCTCAACAATCTCTTTTGTTTCATTGCCTTTGACTTTAAACTTCAAGGTACCTTCTTCCAACTTAAGTTTTTTTCTTAAAGCATTTATTGTCTCTTTGTTAAAATGAGCGATAACCCTGTTAACATAGAGAGTGATTCGGAAGGTAGTACTTCTTCCTCTTGAAAAAGGGGGATTAAGTCTGAATCGCATTCCCTTTCTTTTGTCAATGGGGATTTTGAATCGGAGATCATCCCTTTGATTGATGATTCTGAAATGAAATGAGTTTCTAGAGACTCCTTTTTGATATAGCTTCTTCCAAGAATTCTTTAGAGACTCTATTTTTAGGGAAGGCCAACGGGTTGAGGATCATATTGAAATACCGATGACTTCCCCTATCTTGACTGAGGCGGGAAATAGAAGTTGTTAGGCAAAGAATGGAACATGTCAGTGACTTTGTCCTACTCTATCAGGGGGTGAAAAGTCATGAGTCTAACGATGTTGAAATTGCAAGTCATTTGGAGTACCGTGGGAAGTCCAATGTTGTATCTTGGATCCGACCTGGTGATCAGTTTAAAGCTTATGAATTGGCCTGAAAGGGGATTCAGTTAGTTGATCCAAACAATGCTAACAAGTATTATCGGGTGGCACGAAAGTGATAGGGACTTCTTCCACTTTGAACACTTTTGCAACTATAATCAATGTTGATATTGTGGTCGGCAACCCATTGGATTGACCAGTTCTTCCAGTAGATATGATGATGAGGATATGTAGATCTTTTAAGGGTTATTTGGTTCCTCTATATGAATGCCTCTTTACCGTGTTGGGGGTGTGCTTGGCCTTTTCTAATTTCAAGGCGGTTATGATGAATTGCATGAGAATTTTCCCCTTGCAACTTCATCATATAGCTTGGGCTTACTCGAAGGTGTCTCAACTTTGCGTCGATAATAAATCTCATAAACCTTCAATTGAGCTCTTTTTTATCTTTTTTATGCGGCTCGCACCTTTTAAAATGGCGATTGAGATCATGGATTGATCTCTCGTTGTTGCAATGTCCCTTGGTTTGACTGTTTTACTAATTATTGAGGTGATTTTATTGAATGTTTCATACTAGTGAAACCTATTACTCATAAGTCTCAATTTGCATTTTGTTCATCCTCGCCCTTATTTGGATCCATTTCTCTTGCAACAATGGTTTTCTAAAGTACTAGTCTTAAGTTAACTTCTGTCGGCCCCTTTCTTCTTACCATAATGGGTTAAGTCTTCTATCATACGAGGATATAAAAATGAAGGAGAATTTTTGTGCTTGATATCAAGGGCTCGACTATGAGGAAGGATTTGGTCATGCTAAAGTGCATCATTCTTAATAAAAGAAGAAACAAATTGATACTTGTATGTTTATCAGTGCATCAATCTATACGGATATACTAGAACTCTTTTATGAGGATGGGAACTCGGGACACCTCATGCATTTTTTTAAATAAGTGTAACTCGTGTCTTGCAAATAAAATGAATCGATTGTAGAAGCTTATCGTGCTTGACAAGGACCAAGGTCTTTTGACCGACTCATATGGTCAAGTGGTGGAGAATTTTGTTGTTGCGACTACTCTTGCTTTAGTGGTTTAGACGCCGGTTACAATTACTACTCCAGTGACAACTGCGATTGTTATCCCATTGACACCTTTTGAGGTGGAGCAATTGACTGCTACAACGGCCGACCACTCTGTTTGTGAGCCTTCACTGTCCTTTTCTCTTATCAAGAGAAATCAGGGTGATTGTCCATACACTCTTGTTGAAGAGGGTTCTTCCAAATGGGCTTGTTTTTCAGAGGATTTTAAGTTGGAGGCTCTTAATCCTTTCTTATGGCTCTTGCCTTTCTCACCTTTTAAGTACCCATAAACCCTAGAGGAATTTTTTGTTTTTTTTTTGCCAAAAGCTTGCATGAATGTTGCATCGAAATTACCAATTTTTAATGAACAATATCGTTTGCAAGACAATCCAATATCAAAAGAATCCCAACACATGCAGCCAACTAGAGGATTTGACTTGGTAAAGGAAGTTCAGCCTGGGGCAACCATTATAGAGGATTTGTTAATAAAGCATTCCAAGAGTCGGAATCAGGGGCAGAACTCTTCAAAGTTCAGAATATTGGGGCACACCGTCTTGAGGTTATCTTATGGCTAATTGTTTCCCAGCTCCTCTAAAGGCAAGGATTTCAATGACCCACCAACAAAGTCAAGTTTATTTCTCAGTTGTTACTACCACAGCCCGAGGACTTTATTATGCAAATACAGTTAGTCTGGGGCACCTCATTTACAGATCAACCAGCTAACAGAGGCAAGTTTGTTACCCAGTTGTTACTCCCACAGTCTGACGAATAAGTTTGAGGACTTTGTTGTACAATCCCAGTTAAACTGAGGCAGTTACGCCGAGATTTGTTGAATCTCTCCAAGAGTTTGAAGACATTGAGACATCTTGTATGCCAATTCTCTGTAAAATCCTTTTGGTAATCTTTTCTTTTAGACCATGTAATCTGGGGCAGAGGAGATTTGAAGTTTATTTATTGCAAGGGTCGTTACTCATTGTAATGTTCATTATACAAGCTAGAGTGCAGAGCTACATTGTCCTTGTGACATCTTTTGCCAGCTCCCTAGTAAGTTGCTACTTCAGTTGATCTTGGTAATTCTCCATGGATTTTTCTCTGCCAACAAGGAAATCAGGCTCATGATGGCAGTACTAGTGAATTCATGACATTATGCCTTCGAGTGGAATACTTTTTCCCCCCAAAGAAGGTTGTAACCTTAA